AGCCCTTCTTTCTCCCATGATTGTTCTCTCCAAGGAGTATCTACCTCAGGTACATGTTCAACTCTTAATGTCTTTTGTTGGGCTGGAAGCCACAGGTGTGCTTTCAATTCCAGACCTGAAGGGTAGCTAGGGACCATAGTCTCAGGGGTTCCACCAGGCTCTATCAGACCGCAAACCTGGTCCCCCTTTTTTTTTATTTTCCAAATGATTTTGAATTTTGTTCCACATTGTTCTCCCTTTCTATCCAGGATCTCCTACATAGATCCTTGTCCAAGTGGTTGACAGTGGTAGCCCAACACCATCTAGTTCTTCTGGTCTCATAGTCATATAGGCTAAGAATTGCATGGTGTACCAGTCACGAGGACTAATTATTTCCATGAATCTTTGGTTTTCTTCATTCTTCTTTGCATTGTTGCATCTAGATGGCTGCTTGCAAGCTTTTAAAATCCCAGTCACTACTCACCAAAGTAGGAGGTGGAACAATGTTTTGTGCAGTATGTTATGCCAATTGAGCTTGATGTCCCCTATGACTATGGTCCCGAGCCCACAGGTTCAACTATTCAGTCCCTCTGGGTAGCTGGCTGTGACCAAAAAGTTACTACAACCTTCCCCTTGTCAGCTCTACTACACCCCTGGGAATTCTTACAGAACATACAAGTACACTGTAGAACCATTTTCTGCCAACCCTATACATGGTCTAGGGTATACTTCCTGCTATATAGACATACCTAATAGTTCAGCCTGTCCACCCATCTATCCACCTGTATACCCACATTTGCCTTCACTGACGACACAGTGCTGTATGTGCAAAAGGGTTCATCTTTGTTGTCTGTATCTCCCATGTACCTCTCTATGTCTTCCCCTTCCTTAATGCCACCATGTTGATCACTCACATTTGGTACATTGCCATTCTCTTCACCTAAATCAATACTTACCTCTACCTATCTAACAGTGTTCCCTACCCTACCCTCCCACCCCTGGTAACCAACAAAGAAAATTTCCTTCCATATATAAACTGTTCCTTGACTTTTAAATTAATGGACTAATACAATATTGTCCTTTTATGATTGATTTATTTCACTCAGCATAATGTCCTCCAAGTTCATTCATGTTGTGCAGTGTTTTGTAGATTCTACATTATTCTTTAGGGTTGCATAGTATTCTGTTGTGTGTATGTACCACAGTTTGGTTATCCATTCCTCAGTTGATGGACACCTAGATTGTTTCCAAATTTTTGCTATTGTAAATAGTGCTGCGATGAACATGGGTGTGCATATGTCTGTTCTTA